GGAAAAGGGGGGGGGGGGATGGGGAGGGGTGCTCTGAATGAAAGGGGTTTGGGAAGGGGTGCTTGGTGTGAAGGAGGGGCGGGACTGGGTCAGGGACCTCTGTCTGTCTGATGCTGCACTCGGGGCTGGGGCTGGACTCCAGACGACGGATCTTGGACGGCGCAGCCAGATGGCCGGGCTCACGGAACACAGTGACCTGGGGTGGCTTGCGCTGCACGGCCCGGTGCAGCCTGCCTGCTGCTGACATGTGTGGCGCCACGCGAGTTCGGCGCAGCATCTCCCCACACACATGTCGCCATGAAGAGACCCACCTGCGGGGACAGCACGTCCCAGAGGGTCCGCAGGGCACAGAGGTAGGCGTCCCCCACGGCCCCGTCCGCCTCCTTCCGGTCCAGCCACAGCTGCTGCTCCAATCCGGCGGCGACGTCGAGGGGCGCCCGCCGCGGCGCGAGCGCATGCGCCAGGACGGCCACTGCTTCGTCCCTGGTGGGGTCGCCTGGAGGGCGAGCATGGGAGCAAGGGGGGTAGGTGTGTGGGATCTGGTGGGGGCTGAGATCTGGAGTAAGTGCACCGGGCGCCTGCGGCCCCCAGACAGACGCACCGCAACGCAGGCAAGGAGCCCCCCCCAACATAACAAACACCCTGCCCGCTCACCAGTGGACGCCGGGCCCGGGTGGGGGGCGCTCGCCGCCTCCTCGGTCCGCGGCGGCGCCCCCGACGTGCCTGCCTGGGCTGCCGGGATGTCGGCGGCGACTGCCTTGCCCCGAGCCTGCCCCGACCCGGGAGTGGCGGTCTGCACGCGCTGCTGCATGGTGTGCTGCATGGTCTGCCTCCTGGCCAGCGCCTCGTCCTTGGGGAGGCTGGGGGCCCCAGTCTCCACCCGCCAGCCGTTCACCAGGCCCCTGGTGGGTGGGGGTGGATGGGAGGGTGAGGGGCAGGCAGTCGGCGGTGTGTCAGCAGGCTGGACTCGGTACTTGTCACAATTGCAGCCCCTTCTCACCAGGAATCCCCTGGGCTCCGGTACCCAGGGGGCACGGGGACTTGCCGGCCGCTGACCCCCCCCCCCCCCCCCCCCCCCACCCCCCCCCCCCCCCCCCCGGCACCCCCCCCCCACCCCCCCCTCCCCATGCCCGCCCCCGCCACTCCCCTCCTTCTCCGAAACAGGCTGCTGGCCGACGCCTACGAGGTCAACGGCGTGGAGAATGGGCGCTACCACCACGCAGTGCGAGACATCC